CCTCTCTTTTTTTTCTGTGTTTTTTTCACAAAATTTAATTTTTTCTTTCATTTAACAAAAATTCTATCTCCTCTTCCTCCCTCCACCCCTGCCCCAGCAGGAAAAATAAATTCCTTAGTCAAGCAAAAGAAATATCTGTATTGATTGTGCATGTCCATTGGCTCTCTGGAGAGAGGAGGCATCTTTCATCATCAGACCTGTTTCATCAGGGTCCCCAAGTCTTTCTGTTGCTTGACATTACCACATTGTGGTCATTGTATACATTGTTCTCCTGGTTCTGCTCCCTTCCTTCTGCATCAGTTCATGCAAGCCTTTCCAGTTTTCTCTGGAACCACACCCTTTGTCTTTTCTTACAGAACAATGACATTCTATCCCATTCACATAACACAGCTTGTTTAGCCATTCCCCAGCTGATGAACGCTTGCATCTCAGTTTTCAATTCTTTCCTGCCAGAAAAAGAGCTGCTACAAATATTCTTATACACTTTGGATCCATTTCTGATCCCTCTAGAGTGCAGGCCTAGGAGTGGTTATCACTGGGTCGAAGGAATTCATCATGTAGTAACCCTCTGGATGCAGTTCCAAATTGCTTTCCAGAATGGGAGAACCAATTCACAGTTCCAACAACAGGGTGTTAATGCATCTGTTTTCCCACAGCCCCAACAGCATTTATTATTTTCCTTCTTTGTCAACTGTGCTAATCTGATGGGTGTGAAATGGAACCTTACTGTTGTTTTAATTTGCAATTCTTTAATTATTCATAATCTGGAGCATTTCTTTCATATGGCTATTGCTAGCTTAGTTTCTTACTTAGAAAAGCGTCTTCAAATCCTTTGACCATTTATCTATTGGGGAATGACTCTTATTCTTAGAAATTTCAATCAGTTTCTCATGTATCTTGGAAATGAGACAGAGTTGGAAAGAGATCTTTTCTCCACCAGGCTCAATGTCTTGTAGGACCTCACCTGGACCTCAAGTATTTTACAAAGAGAAAAAATGTGTGTCCAGGCTGAATTCATACAAACCACTGCCAAGCCAAGACCAGCCCCATGTTCATCGCTGACCCTGGAGGCCCCTGTTGAGTCACTGACTAAGGAAGGGCCCCTGAGGGGCTCCTCTCAGGTCTGGTTACACACTGACCAGACACTGATGTGCTGGTCCTTGGAGCCACTGGCCAGCAGCTACTCATTGGGCTGCCCAGGATCAGAACAAGCCACACGGTGAACAGCTGCTCTCTCTCCCTCTCTTCCCTACTCCCCAAAATACCCAAATTAGAAAGCCCACCACGTTGTTCTGCAGAACTATGCCAACAAAGCCGTTGCTTTGGGCATGGCTCTAAAGGCCTTTAATAGACATATATTCACCCAATATTCACCACACTTTGTGATACTCTGTTAAACTGTAAGCTCCTTCTGGGTAGGGACTATTAGGCCATTAAAAAAAATCTCTAGAGTCTAGCTAATAATAGCTAACCTTTATATAACACTTTACCAATATCTTATTTTATACTCAAAGCTCTGGGAGGCAGGTGGTTTTATAATCCTCATTTTATAGGACAGGAAATTGAGGTAGGCAAAATTTAAATGACTTGCCTAGGGTCATACAGCTGGTAAGCATCCGAGGATGAATTTGAACTTACTTTGCATGTTGTCCTGAATGTAAGTACTTAACAGTTGGTTGAATTTAATTAGCTGATGCTTCTCCCCTTTCCCTCTGCCCCCCTGCTATTCCAAGGGCAGCCCATTCATGGAATCAGCCAAAGCCACAAAAACCACGGAGGAGCCATGCTTGAATCTCTTATCTCCCTTTGGCGTTTTAATGGGGTTTTAGGGCAGATGGTGTATCACGAAAAGAGCAGTAGATCTGGAGTCAGAGGTGGTTGCTGTCCAGTCATTGTACTCATGTTTGGACTCTTCATGATCCCATGTGGGGTTTTCTTGGCAAAGATACTGAAGTGTTTTGCCATTTCCTTCTTCAGCTCATTTTTACACATGAGGAAAACTGAGGTAAACAAGGGTAAGTGACTAGCCCAGGGTCACACAACTAGTAATTGTCTGAGGCTGGATTTGCACTCAGGTCTTCCTGACTCCAGGTCCAGCACTCTATCCACTGCTGCCCTACCTGGCACATACACAGTAGGTGCTTAATAAATACTTGCTCTCTTCTCTTCCTTCTGCGTTCCCTTCTAGCTCTAAATTCTATATCCTATGAAGCCACACTAATCTTAAATCTTACTAGTTCTTTGATCTAACCCATTAAACAGAGCTGAACAGTGTTGCAATATATAAATCTTGATACTGGCCACTTTAATAAAAAAAAAATGAAACCACAGTATTTTCTGTGTCTCAACTCCGGTCCCAAGCACAATGGGAAACGTTTAAAAAAATAAACCAAAATACAATGTAGGTAATGTTAATTTGTGGTTGTCTCAGACAGTATGCAGCCACAGGGATCTGTTTCTATTTGAGTTTGACACAATTGTCCTAGGGTAGCAAACTCTGTCTTCAACTGCCCCAACTTTCATTGCTGATATGTCAAACAAACTCTAGTTGTATTCTTATGGGAAAACAAATCTAATTAGAAGTGAGGTAGCTTGGAAGAAGGCAGAGTGAAAGAGGCTGGCTGATGTCCAACAGGGTGAAAGTAAAAATCACGGAAGGACTAGAAAGTGAAGAAGCATTTCCAATGAATAAATGGTCAACCTAATTAATTTATGAAACAGGATTCAAGGAGACTTTTCAGTAATTCAAATTGTAGCATGATAAAAGAGAAAGCACATTCCTCACACCTCAGAATAAGCCAGTAGCTGCTTGTTTGAGATCTACCCTATAATTGCTACAAGGCTTTTAAATCTCTGAGGCTCATTTCTATGACACATGGACAGTACGGTTGTTTCCAAAGGCTCTAGGAAGTTTCTGAAGGAATTTTTTCTTTCCTCTGTCTCTGTCACTCTCCCTTTCTAGAAATACTGCACACTCAAAAAAAAAAGTACTGTACATTACTTAAGTGTGTGAAACTGGCAGACTCTTCAGCATGGACAAAGTTCAGAGGAATTTCTGAAATGTTCATTTTCTCATTTCTGTCAAAATACAGCAGCTACGTCATGAAATTGGCCAGAAAATGGCAGGATTTTTATCTTTTACACAGTCTACTGTCTTACTTTTAATAAGTACATTTGAGGACTGCTTTGGAAGGGAAATGTTTCTACAACAAACATAACAGATGAGTTATGCCCACAAGCTGCAATGCTCAAGGATAAAGGCTTAAAAACAAAATCCCAATCCAGATTAATTGTAATAACCTTAGTCTCAGTGAAAAGAGAAGGGAACATATTTCCCTTTCTCTTGGTAGAGGAAGTGGAGGACTTCTCTACAGGCATGAACGCCTCTACCGTCTGATGTAGTCACTTTGTTGGTTTTCCTTAATTTTTTTTTAATTACAAGATTCAATGGAGAGAGGAAGAATATTGGAAAACACTCTTACGTAAAATAAAGACAAAAATAAAAATTAGTAGTTGAGGGAAAAAGGGCTATAACAGACTCAGAGTTCAGAAAGATCTTAGCAGCCAATTAGACCAACTAATACACAAAAAGTGTCACATACCTGATAGATAGTCATTCAGTCCCTGCTGGAAGACCAATGAAGAGGAACCCACTACTCTTTAAAGCAGCCCATTTTACTTACGAATAGCTCTAATCGTTAAAAAGTTTCTCCTGTCAGGCCTAAATTTTTCTCTTTGCAATTTCTACCCATTCTTCCTGGTTCTGATCCCTGGGGATGAAAAGAAAAAGCCTAATCCCATCTAATCCCTTACCAGCTTGACAATCCTGACAATACTTGAAGCCAGCTGGATGCCCCATCCTCTCTGGCTTTCCATCTCAAGACCAAGCCTCCACTGTGCTTTTTAAACCAGCTTTCATTGGGCACAGACTCAAAGTCTTTCTTCCATCTTGGCTGCCTCTCTCTAGATACTTCCCAGTTTATTAATATCCTTCCTAAACTAGAGCTCACGCGATGAAATACTCCAGATTTAGTGTGACCAGGGCATTTCCCTTTTCCTGAAAGTTATGCCTCAGTTAATGTAGTGTTGGTCATTCTGCCTGTCATAATGAGTTTCTGTTGTTGTTGTTAAGTCGTTTTCAGAAACGTCCAACTCCTGGTGACCCCATTTGGTGTGTTCTTGGCATAGATACTGGAACGGTTTGCCATTTCCTTCTCCAACTCATTTTACAGATGAGCAAACTGAAGCAAACAGGATGAGGTGACTTGACCAAAGTCACACAGCTAATAAGTGTCTGAGGCCAGATTTCAACTCACAAAGATTAGTCTTCCTGACTCCAGGTCCAGCACTTTAAGTCAATGCACCACCTAACTGTCCCATACTTCTGCTATATCACCTGCTTATAATGAGTCTCTGAGTTCATTATAAAGCTCCCACATCTTTTCCTGGAAGAAAACTCAATCTAACCACGCTTCTTATAAAGCTGATTTTTTGAATACATGTGTAAGACTTTTACCCCTATTAAAATTTCACCATGTTAGATTTTGCCCAGTGCTCTAATCCAAGGGCTGGAGAACCCTTTGGCCTGAGGTCCAAATTTCGCCGTTGCCCATTTTTGTATAGCTCATGAGCCAAGAGGGGTTTTTCTCCATTCTTAGCTACAGCCAGAGTTTGCCTCTCCCATTCCTATCAAGATCTTTTGGGATTCTGTTATCTCAAGTTAGCTATCCCTCCCAGCTTTGTACCATCTGCAAATATGATAAGATATGTGAAGAGAGTAAGAAAATGAATCTAAACCTTTATCTTGCATTTTAAAAAGAAAAAAACCTGAAGAGTCACTCTAGTAACTTCAAGAATCTAGGATAAATCCAGGAAGTTGCCCACTAGCAAAAATGACATGTAGCCTCTGTTTACATACAACTGAACAAATACATAAGCACATTATTCTATGTGTTCTGAGTGCATTCTTGGTGGCAATGTAAAATGAAACAACACAAATGTAAAATTTTCAAAGTGGAAAATGAACATTTTATTTACATGCCCATCAAGTTACAACATATTTCAATACATACAAACATTTTCCATTATGAAATCACAAATGATACATAATTGTACATTATCAATTCTGCCACTGTGTTACTTTTTACATGTATTACTTGACAGAGTTGGTACAACGGCTAATGCAGGGTGGAGAACATAGTTTAACAAGGAAGCATTATTTTTCTCAAAGGAAGACATAATTTATTTCTGTAGGCTTTATTTGGGAGAAAGTACAAAATGGAGGAACCCAGAGAAAAGTCAGGGTCATGACAAACTTGTCTCTTTATTTGTAAACTTTCAATGCACGCCCTCCCCAAAACACAAGCTTCACAGTCCATAACAGAAGGGTACCTCTGACGTAAATGTTCCCATCTACCCAAATACAGCATGTACACTGTACAGACATTACAGGTTAGGAAGGATCACAGTCAGTGAAAGTAATAGAGTGAGGTCAAATAAGCCATCACATCCAGTGGCAACAATATGGCGCACTAATCCTATCCTGAACTCAACAAGAACCAGAGCTCCTACAAAAGGAGAGGAAATAAAAACAAAGAAAATGGGTGAGTAATTATATCTTCATCGTTATACCTCAGACAACAAGGTCCTTGCTAAAGGACCAATGCACAACCCTATAGAGAAAAGGTAAAACTGCAAAATAAGAGAATTAAAATGTTACTCCCTCTACTCGGTGACCTAGAGAAATCAATTAAGAGCAGAAACCTGTCAAAGCAATAGGTTTAGATGAAAACACATAGTGCACATTAAAATTAAAAGCATAATTTTTGTTCAAATAAAGGGTAGAAAATACAGGGATGGTAGAGAAAAATTATTTGTAACTGAAAAAAAAAGGAAGAATGCAGGGTGAATGTGAAATAGGCAGATGAGGTAGATATAAGGTGGGAAGAAAGATAGAAGGGAGGCCCAATGATAGGGAAAAGAGCCAAAATCCAAAAGGGAGTTTCGGAATGGAACGAGAGGTAGCAGAGTGAAATGACTGGCCAGTTTCAGCAAAGAAAGTGGGAAGATGCCAGGTGGAAAAAGAAGCAGCATGAGGGAGAAGACAACTTGCCCAGCTAACCCAACGGATGTTAGTGATGTAGCAAGAATGATTACAGAAAAGCCCAGAATGGAAAAACGTAAAAAGAAGTGGGAATAAGTCAGAATTCTTGCGTTTTCTTTGTTGCACCTGCAAATGAAGTAGGGGAGTTACAACTCTAGAAGTAAAAATCCTCAAAGGGGGAAAAAAATTAAAAATTCTGGATCCCCACCTGTGAAAAGCAAAGCTGAATTATTAATGTTAAAGTTGCTATTTTATTTCATCTAAAAAAACAAAACAAATAAACCCCCTAAACATCAATTATCCCTATCCCCAAACTGAATTATATGTATATACATATATATACTTAAGAAATTATTAGAGTGAACTATCTTCCTGAACAAATTATGTAAGGAAAGTGAAATCAGATCACAGGAATATATCCTAGAATTAAAAAAAAAATCAAAACTAGTTTTTAAAAAAGTCTTATTAAATGACTATATAAACAGGTCTGCTTATAGAACATATTCAATATGAAAACATGATGAAAACATCATCCCCTCATGGGGTGCTGAATTTAAGCGCGCCTATCACATTTTCCAAATGTCACTTTATACTCTTACACAACTTGGCAAAATGAATATCATCAAACCAAACCAAAATGATTCAGTTGCCCCTTTCCATTTAATTTGGTTAGATGTGAAAGGAAAGCTCTGGAGGGCAGCTAGTGTCCCTCCTCCTATGCTCAAAAGCATAAAATACTCCCCACCCAAAACAAGAAATGGAGAGTAGGTACCTTAACATTTTCTCTACAAAAAAGCAGAGTGAAACAAATGATCCTTCCCAACCATATTATACCCTAAGAAGGTGGTATACATGAGGATCCAATATGAATCGGTGTTTTTGTTTTGTTTTCACACAATACCATGGGCTTATGTGGCTAATATGTGGTAATTATTTTTAAGATTAAAAATTAAATAGGTCACAAAATACCTTACAGAAAATCCTTAGGATTTAATACTAAATTAAGGTTAGATACCTTTGGCGAATCCATATTAAAGAATGTTCAAGATAACATTTCATTCACATTAAAAAAAAAAGGTGGGGTGGGGGAAGAGTTGAGAGATCACATTGGACAGTTTTCCACAAAAATCAACTTGTACTAGTTGCAATTTGATTAGTGTCCTGTCCCTATATAGTATCTCTGGTCCCATTTCCCCTTCCTTATGCCATTCTCCCACCCCCAGAGGTTCTTTTGCATTATCTCACTCGGAGGGTTCTTTTTGGGTTGTTGTTGGTTTTTTTTTTAAGCACCAAAAACACCCTCAGGTATTTTATTGCAAGAAAAAAAAAAAGAAAAAATTGTGCTTTGATGAATAAAAGCAAGAATTTAGTCTCAAAGTATTTGAAGCTAGAACTGAAACCTCTAAACAGAAAAAGCACAGAAAAGAAACACTAGGCTACTGGAGAAGATAATACAAAAACTACTGTGGAGGAGCTATCAAGGATCAAAAATTAAGCCACTTACTTGTCACTTTTAATACACAAAGCTCTGTTGGACTTATTTCTTATTAACATGTAGTGGAACTTCGTGGAGTGGGGGATGGGGATGGGGATGGGTAAGGGTGAAGTATGAGGTCAGAAAACTAGCCACAAATAAACTAATGAGGTTTCTAATATACTCAAAAGCATAGAAAAGAAAGTGCTTCAGGCAGAAAAAAAAATGCAGCTTTGTTTCCCCCCAGTGCCATCAAATGACAAATGCCAAAGCATTAGTGAACATGGTGAGCTTACCTTCCAATTCAACAAAACAAACAAACAAACAAATGAAGGACAACAACAAAAAACAAAACAAAACACACCAAAGTGATATGGAAAACAAACTCAGAAACCCAACCCTTGTAAGACAGCCCTTCGGAGAAACAGAACAGCCCTGGGCTGGAAAGTCTGTGTATAATCCAACCTGGGCCCAAAGTATAAGGACTTCATTACATAATTCTGTTAGAGACACGGAAGTGGGGGGGTCCAGTCAATCAGCTGGAACCCTCTGGCCCTCTACATGGTAAAGTCTAATTGTGGGACAGAGTGCTCTCATTCCATTTCTGTTTGTTACCTTACAATACTAGTCCATATAGAGTTGTCATCCTTGGGTGCTAATTAGGACCCTGTCTTCTAGTATGACTTTTAAAAGCCCTTTTATTCTAAATACCTCATTTAAGATTCCATAGTTTTGCAAAATTTCTTTCTCCTGATCCCTATCCCCTCACTATGAACCTTACCCAATGCCTTAAATACTAACCCTTTCTGTTCTCATGATGAAGACGGAATGTCTTAAAAAAATTTTTTTTTGTAGCCCCATGACCAACTAGGATAACCTATTGTGTCTCAACTCAGAATTGTGAGAAAAGCAGAATGAAATGACTTTCCATCTGAGCGTCACAAAAAAAATGAAAAACAACATAACACAAACAACCCTCCCCCAGCTCTCATGCCCATAAGTGGTTTAACCCAATAAAAGCCAGTTACCTATGAATTTCATAAATGGCTTGTGCCCCAAGGGGAAAACCCTTCAAAGTTTCTTTGAGAAAAAAAGAGTGCTCCCTCCCCTCCCCAACCCCCAAAGGAAGACAAACCTAAGAATTTCCCAAAGCACATGGCCAAACCAATGCTACTGGACAGGTTTGCTTATTAGAGGTAAGGAACAGCACAGGACCAAAAAACAAAGCAATGCCAAAAGAAAAGAGGAGTGGGGGACTGGCTCCACATAATCACCTCGTGTATTGACCAAATGAGATATACTGGTATTAATTCCTAGTTAGTTTTAAGCTCTGGATTTTGTGAACAAATAATACACAGGTCAGGATAAAAGTATTGACTTACTACCGTCTTTATAAAAATCGAAGATACACACAAAAAACACATCCACATTTATGGAACGGCATCCATTCAACTTTTGATATGACAACACAAAAAACTAACAAATAGCTAATAGGGTGCTGAATAATATCCATCTTGAATAACATTTTAATTTTAAAAGGTCCATATTTACAGAGTACAATTAGATGCAACAGCTTGCATTCTGCATCTCCCTTTAAATGCATGATAAAGAAAGAACAAAGATAATGGTTGCCACAGATCTTCCAAGAGGGTTAAGCTTTAAGGGAGCTGATGTAAACTGCTATAGATGGGCTCCAAGAATGAAAACTGACATCTCTTACTAATTCGGCTTCCCTTCTCCTTTCCTTGGTGGGGAGAAATCATAACCAGGAATTAAACCTCGATTCTGTTGTTCAAGTTACTTTACGCCAGGAGAACTTATCTGCACTTGGGTAGTGATACTGACAAGTATTTCAATGAACACCCAGATTTAGTCTATCAATCATGTCGTTTTGGGGGAACAAAATATTTAAGAAATAACTTATTTATGGTTATGTGCATGATCACCAGCACATACAAGATAGCCCCCACCTAAAATACCCAAATAATGCAAAAAGTGAACTTGAAACCAACTACAAAATCTGTCGGTGTGTTTCCTATTAAGTTTTCTTTTCAATGATGACTAGAAAAAAACTGGCTTATAAGCTACTTACTAACTTGAGGAGACAATGTCCAGATTTTTTTATTTCAAAGCTAAATTGGAAAGAAAAAAAATTTTTTTTCAACTTTCAGGAAACATTAAAACTGATCAAATTGTCCCCCCAAGGGGATCACCAAGTTTCTCAAAGTTCAGCCTCTAGTTTCCATTAAAATAAAGCTCACTAAGATATAAGCTAACCCATTGCTTAGGGTGAGTGGACTGGAAGCTCTCAGGTTACTCCTACCTAAAATGATGCCTGCGATCAACATGCTCCTTTTAATGTAGCTCTCTGGGATGAGACTAATGGGCTAGGGCTCTCTTTAGTATGAGCATGAGCATCCATTCAGAGGAAGATTGTGCCTGAGATGAAAGCTGACAGCCTTCCTCAGGTAGAATAAAGCCATGTATATGGTCTTTCACACAGAAAGGTATAGTGAAAGCAGCAAGCTTAATGACCCCTGCCAGTGCTAGGATTGGGAGTGGAGGTGGTCGACCAAACCAAATGGGACCCATATTGGTTGTGGAGGCAGAGAGCTATATACTAAATTCCCTTTTGATGGAGATATGTTCCTATCTGGGTTAGTGAGTCCCCATGCCGAGATACAAATTTTTGGACATGCAGTCATTAAAAAAAGAAAACTTAAGACCACTTTCCAGTCTCAAACACGACATGACGTTCTTTCAGAATCAACCTTATTGAAAGATTCATCAAGGTCTGAAATACCATAATTTCAGGATTTAGCCTTAAAAAAAATTTTTTTGGGGGGTAACTTAATTTGAAAGGTAATACAAAATCTACACTGTGAGAAAACAGATGACAAAGGCTGTCTGAACTTTGGATACAAGGCATAAAGGACCACTCATGTTTGAGGGACTCTACAGTGTGACCCTTTTGCCAGATAGCTAGTGAACACATCAAAGTACACTGAGTTTCTTTCCACTTCTCTCATGTGACAGGCCTATCAACGTGATCAGGGAGCTTTCAGTACAAAAACTAATTCAGAAGTCCAAGGATGCCCCAACGCTCTCTACTCTAATAGTTGAGGGTCCCACTGTAATATCTATCCCAAATGATAAGTATCCTTCACAAAATATGGGAGCAAAGATGGAACTAAGGCACTTTCTTAAGGTCTGCCCAGAATTAACCTTAACAGAGCTTGCTCCTTTGGAAAGGGTAAAGCTCTCATCAAAAGGAAACAGGCCAAAATTTACTTAGTAAAAGCAATCTGAGCGGGGGGACCCACAGTTTGGGTTATGTTGGTTCTGCCTACAACAATATTAGTATCTCTTTTGTGGAATTACACTTTACATCAAAGTTGTCATTGCTGTTAAATTTACCAAATGGCAGGGCACACCAAGGCCTTCCCAAAAAGATATGCTGATGATCAGAATGGCGATCGCCAGTATATTCCCCCAACGTGTTCAATCTTAGGAAAGAAGTGGCACATACTAGTAGTGCATCAGTTTACAGGCCTGCAAATGAAGTTTTAAAATGATTCTTTTTAAGCCAATGGGAAAATCAAAGTTATGCCTATATAACTCTGGAAATGAGAAATGGGGGAAAGTGGAGGTGAAGGGAGGTACAGAGGGAAGGTTTCAGCTCGGAACCAAGAGAATGTGAGGCCAGGATTTGACTTATGAGAATGAGAACCTGTCTCTTCCATTGGTACAACTCCCGACCCAATACCCCTTATCTCTGAGCTCTTTAGGCTACATAAATACCAGATGGATCCCCAAATTTTTTGATCTATGTTTGGCATACACCTTCTGAGGTCTTTCTAAGGAATTATGAATTATTTTCTAGCCTACACTGAAGATAAGAGCAACCATTATCAAATATTCTTTGCTAGTAAAAAAAAATCTTTTAAGATGGGGGACATGTTAATGTTCTTTCCTCAATCCAAGTCACTGTGATCGCACAGTCAGATTTTGAAGAACAAAGTCTACATGCATCATAAGCACTTGAAAAAAACAAAACAAAAACAAAACAAAAAAAACCAAAACTATAGTTCCTTGTGGCTACAACAGGATAGGGAGCAAGTGGATGCCAAACTCCTATTGCTTCTGGGTCCTCTAAATTCGGCCTTCTTGGTATCCATCATGCGTTTGGCAGCTCCAGACCACAGTGAAGCAAGGTCGCAGGCTCCTGATGTGACTCTGCTCCCATCGCCTCTCCTTGGGAAAATTCCACAGTAGTTTCTATAGCATAAGGGTCGGTTATTCTTAGTGGAAATCATTCAACAATCAGTGCCACATTTATGTGGGACAAATCTATCATATGCCTGTGGAAGGTTAAAGAAATGGTCAATTGTCAGTCAACTCTGAGTACCACCAGTAAAGTCACGGAGGCCAAAGAAAGCAATATTTTAATGGTGGGCCCTGTGTTAAGAAAACTCGAGATACAAAACCAAAACAAAACAAAACAAAAATCCAAATGTACAAAAAAAACCCCAACCCAAACAGATCCAAGAAGTGCATTTTCATATTACAAAACAGATTCCATACATTCATACAAAAGGTTTCACTGACTGGTTTTGGTTTTTGTTGGTTTTTGTTTGTTCTTGTTTCAAAATAATGGGCGCCCCGACCCCCAACCCCACCCTGTGCATTTAAGAAATGATGATTCAATGAACAACTCACCATCCTCTGCCTCCCCCCGAAAAAATGAAAAAGCAAAAATTCAAATTGATACACAGCTTGACAAGAACATGTCTATTGTGCAAAGCCTGGCAATGGATACAGAGCAGATCACACAAGGGTACGAGGTCTTCCCTCCCACCCGTAAACCATGGTAACTTCAGAGGCTCCACTTAAGAATACGATGGGCTACCTGTGGAACTTCTGCTGAAATGCTAAAGCGTGGGCTGGCTCCTTAAACTTCGCGATGGCTTTCCGCTGCTGGGGAAGCATCTGTAAACTCTACATAAGGAAGAAAAGGGGGGGGGAAGGGGAAGAGGGAGAGAGGAGAGAGAGAGACGGGGGGAGAGAGAGGAAGATGGGGGGAGAGAGAGAGGAAGACGGGGGGAGAGAGAGAGAGGGATATAGGAAGAGGGAGAGAGAGAGGGAGAGAGGAAAGGGAGAAAGAGAGGGAGAGAGGGAGAGAGAGAGAGAGAGAGATTGTGATGACATCACCATTCTCACTGACAACAACATGACACATTTAAGAACAATACCTGATGGTTTCATTTTTAAGATTGGCAAACCACTTCAAATGCATTCTTATGTATGATTCGAGCCTTGCAACACGCCTGCAGGGCAGGTTCTATTTTTTATTTTCACTGTATAACTGGGGAAACTGAGAGGTTAAGTGATTTACTTAGGATACAGCTAGTAAGTGTCTTGGGTAGGATCTAATCCCCAGATCCAAGTGTAGCTTTCTCTCCACTGTGCCATGCTCTCACCAATGTATTGGTAACATCTAACCAGGGAAGGCATGTGTGTGTATGTGTGGGTAGAGGAGAAACACTCTAAATTTGGTTTTGAGATAACACAGACTACTTTTATTGGCTCACTGTGTGGTTTGTTTTTTTCATGGTGTTCTTTTTGTTTTTTTTTATCTGTGATCTCACTGGTTTAGGGAACTCTGAGGTACTGAAACTCCCACTACTAACTCAGTATCTGCACCTTTTCTGCAACTTGTAGTCTGAGAGGGCTGCCAACCTACAGCATGGAGAGGTTGAAGGCCTTGCCCTGGGGCTGCCCAAGGTCACACAGCTAAGTGTAATTGTCTGAGGCCGGATTTGAACTCTGGTCCTCCTAACTCTAGGGCCAGTGTTCTATCCACTGCGCCATCTAGCTGCCCCCAGTGTATGTATGACTCAGGCAGAATATGATGTTAGGCCTTCTTGACTCCAAATTAAACATTATATCCACCATGCCATGTTGCCTTTATTGGCAGCATCTAACTCAGGATGCATATGTGTATAGGGGAAAAACTATAATGCTGGTTTTGAGTCAACGAGCCGACCTTAGAGGTTCATTGTTTTTTGAGCTTTGTATGTAGTTAGTTCTTTTGATGGAAGTTCTTTTGATCAACGTATGTTTTCATTTTGTTTAATAAACCCAAAGGCAGTATATGCTATACTAGGTAGAGAGAGTTAGTGTTAGGTGGGGCTCAGAAGTTCTGCCTCCTACAGTTAGGGGCTATGTGATTCTGGTCCAAATAACTAATCAACTCTCTTCTATAGAAGGTGTCAACCTGCTGTGGCGGAGGGAGTTCCATATATCAAAGACGTAATAGGCCTAGGGTCTACCTTTATTCTTAATGACAGACTATCTCATGATAGTGCCGCAGATTTTCATGTGTACTGGAAAGCAAAATAATTCTATTTCCACTCTTGTTCTATTAGTCTTTGTTTAAAATCTTGGGATATAATTCTATATTATCTGCATTAACAGTTAAGTGGAAATGCACCAATTAACTGTTCAACAAGTTAACTTCCTCGTAATAAAAACAGATGACTATAGCAAGACCTGCTTAACATCAGCAACCTCTAACAATTAACTTTTCAACACATACTACTCTAAATAAAAGCAAGGCACATTTGAAGACTCCTTAAACTAGAAAGGTCCAAGGTGTAGTTCTAGTACTCTTTTACTTTGAAATATACTTGGATTAAGAAATTTGCTGGACAATTAGTTATACTGAAAATTGTTACCAGACTAATTGTCTCAACTAAGGTAAAAACATATTCATTGCCTTAAAAAATTAAATTATTTGGTCAAGGTTCACAAACACATTTTCGTAAATAACGATTTCATACTCTAGAGCAGACAGGAAATATTTTTTTTCACTTAATAGTATTTTTTTCCTAATTACATGTAAAGATAGTTTACAACATTAATTTTTTTGTTTACAACATTAATTTTTTCTAAGATTTTGAGTTCCTCTGGCCTCAAACACTTGACACTTACTAGCTGTGTGACCCTGGCCAACTCACTTAACCCCACCGCCTAGCTTAAAAAAAAAAAAGATTTTGATTTCCAAATTTTTTTCCCTCCCTCCCTCCCTTCAGAAACACTTCTTAATAAATAATGGTGTGATTTTCAGTGCACAACTTGATTTTATGAACTGGTTCAGGGAATGTCTTAATTGTGTATATTCTGCAAGTAGCATATTTGATAATATTTCAATATTTAAAAGAATGATAACTGATATTTATATTGTGTTCTAAAGTTTGTGGAATATTTAACTCATTTCCTTAGAACTCCACGAGGCAGGTACTAGGGATATCATGATTCCCATTTTACAGAAGAAACTGAGGTTCAGAGAAGTCATGATCACGGCTAGTACCTGTCAGAGAGGCAGATTTTGAAATCAGGCCATCCTGATTCCAAGTTTAACATGAACGATGATGAAATCCTTTCAAGAATCTAGAATGACTCAAATGCTTCCACTAGTAGTTCAGGTCAGGGAAACATAGGAGACATGAAAATTAATCTTCTTCCCTTCCCCCCATTTCTAAAAATTGTTCTTCCTTTGGAAATCCAAGATCTTGTCTGCATATGTGCCAATCGGGGCTAAAAAAGCACTTGGAGCCAGTGAAAAAGTATAAGGAAAAATTGTTTTGACTTCAGAAAAGCAAAACCTCCTCCAAACGGAAACTAGGTTCTACTTCCTCGTACTTGACAAACTGGTAAAAATTACCAAGAAACTCAAGAGTGGGGGGGGGGGAAGTAAGGGAGAAAAGAGGAAAAACTTTTCTGGGATGCCTGAGGATGGGCAAATGTCTTTCTTTTCAGTTTGTCACAGAGGCAAGAGCACCAAGATGTGGACATCAGGTAGTGTTATTGCTATCCAGGACTGCTCATATGCAGCTTTATTTTGAATATTAACATTCTGACACTGTCTTGAAAAGAAGGCTTCTAAAGGCCGTTCTGAGGTGGCCTCAGGGCCAGGAAAACCTGGGTTCAAGTCCTGCTGCTGACATATATAGAGGATAATAAGCCCCTTAACATCTTAAAGCTGTGGGCAACTCTAACTCTACCAGTGGCAGGGCTGATGCGGAAATGGCTAGGGAGACTCCTCCTCACTTGCTAGTTTTCTACATCAATGTAACCCTAAATTCAGTCCCTTTCCTAGAAACATTCTATTGTGAAAGGATCCTTTTCCCTTTACTCTGTTGTCCCAAAGGTCTGTCAGGATCACAGATGTAAGGGGAATGGAGCCTCCAAAATCATCCAGTACCACTTCCTAGATTTACAAATGAGGAAGCAGAAAACTGCAGAGAGAGCAAGAAGCACCACTGAGATCCACAGCCCAGCCCTTCATCTCCAGATCCAGCATTCCTCCTACCACGCTTTAAAAAACCAAAAAACCTTCACACTCCTGTGGCCAAAGGGTTTTCACAGGAATAAATCCGTATTATAATTTATAATAGCATTCGGCTGAAAAAAACAAGTGATCCTTCGCCTGTTTCATGTTACAATCTTCCCTTTGGTTCTTTCTCTTGCCTCCCAGGGTCTGACTGCTCATTCTAGGCAGAGGATTCCCAATCTAGATTTGTACCTTCAACCTCTCCTGAGAGCTAAATCTGGGAGCAGAGAATTTAGAGCTCAAAGACAGCATAGGGGCAGCTAGGTAGTGCAGTGGATAGAGCGCTGGCCCTGGACTCAGGAGGACCTGAGTTCAAATCTGACCTCAGATACGTAACACCTGCTAGCGACGTGACCCTGGGAAAGTCGCTTAATCCCACTGCCTAACCGGAAAAATAAAAAGACAGCGTAGTCCATCCCCTTCAGACAAGGAACCAAGGACCACATAAATGAAATGATTTAGAGTCACAAAGGTATTAGGCATTTGTTAAATACTTCCCAATTACATTTTGGGAGGAAGGAGACAATTGGGGTTAAGTGACTTGCCCAGGGTCACACAGCTAGTAAGTATCTGAGACAAGATTTGAACTTGGGTCCTCCTGACTCCAGGGCAGTGCTTTATCCAATGTGCCATCTAGCTGCCCTACCCAATTATATTTTAATCTGGTTGGCCCCCATTTGACACCTCTGAGCAAGGCAATTCTCTAAGACTGCAAATCGCAGGAAAGCTGAGGACCTTCATTGTTAAAGGGAGGGTTTCCTCATCTGGGAATTCATTATTGTAATAAAATCACAGGTCCAATCCCTGTCTCCCTTTTTAAGGTTTACAAAGTACTTAATAACCCCTATGAAGCAGGGACTATTATTATCCCCATTTTACAAATAGAGAACTTGAGGCTGAGAGAGGGTGACCTGCTCAAGGTCACAAAGTAAAAGGGTCTAAGGTAGAAACTGAACTCAAGTCTTCCTGACTCCAAGTCCAGCACTCTATACCCTGTGTGCCACCTAGAGGCCCCCCCCAACAGAATTCAAAACCTTTGACTTCGAAGTCTTCCCCCAAAACCTACCGGTTGACCATCTTGTCACTCTACTTCTACATCAAAAGACATCATCGTCCTTCAGGTCCTCATAACCTCTTGCTCTATTATGAAAGCTCCCTAAGCAGGTCCTTGTCTCAGTCTCATACCGAACCCTGTATCTTTCCTCCCTTTGCCACCCACACTCAGGGACCCCACCTGCTCTCCTTTCATTCTCGTCTAAACTTCATTCTTCAGCTGAAACTATTCTTGCCAGTTACCAATGATCTCTTGCCAAGCCTCATGGCCTTTTCGCTTGACTTTTCTGCAGCCTTGGACTCCAAAGCTCATCTCCTCCAGGATACTCTTTCCTCTCAAGGTTTTCATGACCCTTCTCTCTCTGGATTCTCCTCAGTCTTCTTTACTAGTCTTTCATTACTGTCACACCCACTAATCACAGATGTTTCCCAGGATCTGCCTCAAGTCTTCTCTTTTTTCTTTTTATACTCAGAAGGTGATCTTCTTAACTCCCAATTATCACCTCTTTGCAGGTGATTCGCCAATCCAGATACCCAGTCTCTCCTGAGT